AAGCAAAAGCTCTAATTTGTTCTTAGAAACAATGATCAGTACATATATAGTAAACTAAAAAAAATGTATATATGTGTTTACCTGCAATATAATGTATATCTGCAGTTGAACTGTAATAATTCTACCTAATAAAACTGAAAAAGGAAAAAAAATTAGAGGTGACACAAAATTCCCTCTTTCCTTCCTTGTAACTCCTTTCTCCAACGATGAGAAGCCTATCTGTCATTATCCACAATACATTTACTTACTTGCTCAAAATCTAAAGTAGTTTCAGAATTGCTAACCCAGATCCTCCTGGGAGAAATATTAACTAGAGCACAATCTTTGTATGTGGTTCTTTTTTCCTCTCTCTTTTGAAATTGAGGTGAAACCCACACAATATAAAATTAACCGTTTCAAAGTGTGGGTACAGTTCTTTTTGTTTTTAGTCTTATACTATGTAGTCAAAATGCTTCCTTTCCAAGTCACTGAGGTCTGTTCCTTGATGTACTTATTTTGTTCATTTGTAACACAGTTGGGTCCATTTGTTATTGTTTATATTTCATTTGAGTTCAAGCCACATCCTGGTTGATCTTAATTATTTACTTGTGCGTTATGGGGGAAATTCCCACGGTTCTAAGAGCCAGAGTTATACCAAAAAAATATACTCAGCAAAGTTCTACCCCCTCCTCATCCCTACTACTCCACTCCCATTCCTCCCTTTTTCCACCCCACTGACACCCATCCCCTGTAGGTAACCAATCTCATTAGCTTCTGGTTTATTCTTTATGTCTATATGACTTTATGTCTATATGTCTATATTTTGCATCATAGGTGAGCAGATCCATAAATATTCTCTTATATCTCCTTTCTTCCATGAAAGGTAGCATCCTATAAATACCCTTGTGTGCTTTGCTTTTTTGCCCTCACTTCACAGTATATCTTGCAAATCATTCCATACCAGTTCCTAGAGATCTTCCTTATTCATTTGTAGAGCTGCACAGCGCTCCACAGTGTGGATGTACTGCAGCTTA